TGTGGCTCACCTTTCCTAGGGAGCTTCCTTCTGGGTGCTGGGACCAGCTCACCTTCTCTGCCCTAGGAGCCTGGGATGGCAGCAGGGGAGCTTCCTTCCAGGTGCTGGGACCAGCTGAGCTTCTCTGCCCTAGGAGCCTGGGGTGGAGTCGAGGACCTTCCTTCCAGGTTCTGGGACCGGCTGAGCTTCTCTGCCCTAGGAGCCTGGGATGGAGGTGGGGACCTTCCTTCCGGGTTCTGAGACCGGCTGAGCTTCTGTGCCCTGCCTGTCTGCAGTGTGCTGATTTGGCGTGTTCCACGGGACTCTCGACCTCTGTAGGGCGTGCTCAGGCCTGCCTGTCTGCAGTGGGCTGATTCGGCATGTTCCGCGCGACTCATGACCTCCTGGTATTTGTTTCTATGTGAGGTGCTATTGACCTGCATAGTTATTACCAAGATTTCCTTTTTCAAATGCTAAACCCTAGGGAGTGAAATAACAAGTTTAAGAAGAGGTTTGAAATCTTTTTTACAAGGTCTTGTTTCTAGTTTTCTAGTTACATTTTCTAGGTGACAAGTAGCAGACATGGATCACATGACTGCTTCTGAGAAAGGGATCTAGTAAGTGGATCCACCTTCGAAGCTATTGTTAGTGAAGAGATTCCTGGTGTAGGTACACAGATACAGATACACACACACACACACACACACACATACACACACAGAATGAGAGGATATGTATTAGAATATTTTTTTCTTTTTTTAGCTGTGTTATATCATTTAAGATCAAAATTACTACCATTGGAAGCCTCCTGTTTTCTAAAATGTATAGATAAATTAATTTTTTAATATATAGAACACACCTGACTTTATAGTTGTGGGTAAACATCCACTTTTGTTCTTAATGACCCAGTGTCAAAGTTGGGTTTGGTAGTGCCTACAGGAAATAGTTGCGGTACCATAGATTTGATTGTTGGCACTTTGAAGCCTGAATGCTATCACCAAGATTTGTAGTTTCCAAAGGGGTATCAAGATGACATGATATGATCTATTCTGAAGGGATTAGAACTTTCCCAATACCTATCTACCAAACTCTTGTCAGCATTTGTCTTGGTAATTATCTTTTTTGTTCTGCTGTGGTTACTCATGGGGCTTAATTTTCATCTATATGGATATGAATAAAAATAAACAAATGTAATTTTTTTAAAAAGTTGAAGACAATGTCAGTCATTGCTATTAATAGTATTTTAAATTTGCCTTGTAGGAGTAAGTCTTGACTGGAATGAAAAGAGGCCAGAGTTTGTTCGTGGATTTAATCATCCCTGTGGCTGGTTTTGTGTTCCGCTTAAAGACAATCCAAACCAGAGCCTATTGACAGGCTATATTCAGACAGATCTGCGTGGAATGATTCCTCAGTCTGCAGTAGATACAGCCATGGCAAGCACCTTAACCAACTTCTATGGTGATTTACGGAAATCCTTACAAAAAGCTTAGTATGTTCAGGCTTACACTGTGATCCTAGAATCAGCTTTCCTTTAGCTTGTGGCCTGTAAAAATCACCAATTCCTATCTGTGTATGTCCTACAGAAACATTTGAGATGTTTTTGGTTTAGTAGTATAGTATTTTATATTGTTCCTAAAGTGCATAGCTATTTAAGAGCATACATAGCTATTTAAAGTACATAGCTATTTAAGAGAGAGCATTTCAATTTTCTTAAACTTTTGTTTGCACATTGTTTGGTATGGCAGTATGTTATTTAAAAGGATAATATGATAAAAATCCATGAAGAAGTTAGATAGTAGTTCTTTAGCCCAGATTCAACAAATTGAATTAGTGCCTCATTGTTGTGAGCAATGCTACATAGTTTTAGGGAAAAATCATTTGGTTAGCCTAGTTCTCTTGCCTACAGCCCAGCTATGGAATTCTGAGACATAATTCCATTTTGGCCTCTGGTCACAACTGAGACCTCAATGATCCAGTGATGCTGTGATTCTCCAGGACAAGAAACATCCTGGGAGGAACAAACATCTACTCAGTTCCTCATTATTCTTGGACTCTTACCATCCTGTTTACGCAGATGTACTGAATTCTCTGCAAGTCATTTGTTACATTTGTTTTTCCCGATGTACTGAGTACTGAACAAAAGGTGTGGTAAGGTAGGGGCTTTCATCTTTGCTGCCCAGAGTAGCACTGATCAGATCCAAAGCTCAGCTTCTTCTCAGTCTCATTTTTCTACTTTTTCTGTAATTCGCCTTATGCTGCCTTGGCTCACAGGAGACTAGGACTTAACTTCAGAGGTTCTAGTAACGTCCCCTTTCCCTGTTCCCTACACCTCATGAGTATTTTGGCTGTTCGGAAATTAGAGAAAGCACAAGTTTCATTCTCTTTATGCATGCTCTTTGAGAGCTTTCTGAACATTTTATAAAATTTTAATATTTTTAAAGGTACATGTTACTGGTTTACTTTTAGTTTGTTCTGTGAGTTTGTCAGTATCTTGTGCAAAAGGAAAGAGGCCTTTTCTATATTTTGTAAAGGTGAAATTCATTGTCAATTGACTTGCACTACTTTAGGTATTGAAAATATAAAAAAATGAGTATAGATACTATAGTAACAATAGGTACAATTCAGATACAATTTAGTTTTGATACCTAGATGCCATTCTTTTGTAATGTCTTAAAAATACATTTGTTATTTATTGCATTGATTTTGGGAGTCCTGAAAGCATATATGCATGAATGCGATAGTACGAAACTTTGCCAAATATGTAGTTGGGACACCATGCTGATGGAGCAGTAATCTGAGCTGGATGCAATGTCTAGCGGTATCCTGTGGTCAGCAATGGAGGCTCACTGTCTAGAAAGTCAAATTCAGTGAATTTCTGCATATGTTTCAGTTTTGAAAGTGTCTTTCAACTCACAAAACATCCCAAACTCTATCATAACACATTCACATTTGTGACATAACTTTAGTCTGGAACTATAAAAATACATTTTTAGATTTAGCCAAATGCCTGGATAAGTCCCTTGATTCTGTGGCTGCCATAAATGAACATTGCTTCATGCTCCTAACCTTCCAAATCATTATTTGGCTCCTGAGTTATCCATTTAATTTACTTCTGAAATGAGAATTTAAGGCAACTCAGTGTGTCCTGGGAAAGTATAATACATATATGTGTGTATATGTTGTGTACATACACACATCTTGAGATCTCTCAATTCTCAGAATGTCAGATCTTTATGTGTTACTGTTTCAATCATTTTGTTTTTTCTTTCTGGTTCTTCTTCTTGTTCCTGTTCTTCCTCCTCATCTTCTTCTTCCTCCTCTGCCTCTTCTTCTTCTGGAATTATACCCAGGCAGGCCATAAAAAAGCACAAAAATACATAGTCGTTCAAGCTCATAAAAGTTTGATCCTGTGTTTTACTTGAGCATTTTCCTGAATGTAAAGAAAGGATTAGTTTTTTAGACTCATTTTGATGAAGTGGGAAAAAATGAAGCTGTTTTGTTTTTATTATTATTTTGCTACTGAAAATAATGTTCAAATAACAAAAATTGGCAGCAACAGACTGAAAAATAGTTTAAGATCTGACAGAAGGGATGTACAAAAGATTTGGTATTCTTAGTTGAAGTTTATTAATCAACCGATTCTCATTTCTAAATTGACTGTAGCATTTGAATTGCTTGATTTCTCTTTTACTTTTTTTCTTCTGCAATAAAGAAAGAAAACTCAGTTTAAAGTGGCCAGTGGAACTACTAAATGTTAGTCTTGTCTTCATCTATATTCCTTCACTTATTAGTGTAGACTAGGAGGTCTCTTACATTCCATTATTCTTTTTAGGATGGTGAAATGTCAACAGTGTCTAACTTGATGACAATGATTATAGTAGGTCTTCTTTGGTTTTGTTTTTAAGAATAGAAGTGTACACAGTTTTAAACTCTGGAACCTTGTAATAATGTATTAAATATGTTATGTCAGATGTCATAATTTAACAATGCAATGTGGGATTGATATTAACATATAATTTAATCTACTGTTTCTGTAGCACTGCTGTAGGACAGAAAGCTAAAATAAACCATATATGTAATTTAAAATATTTAAGCGGCCACTTTACAAAATATAAACAACTGAATTTAATTTTACAATTCTGTTTAACTCATCCAAAATAGTATCATTTCAACATGTAAACAATGTAAAAATTTATCGATATAGCTTATGTTCTTTTATAATAATTCTTTGAAATCTAATATGCATTTTGCTAATTTGGGCAAGCTATATTTTAAGTGCTTATTAGCAACATGAGGCCAGTGGCTGCTATAATGAATAGCATTGTTTCATTGTAAATGGATTAATTTGTCTTGCTATAAGATGAAGTAGACAATTTCATGGAATTACTCTCTTAAATAGTCTCTAGAGCCTTCAGTGCTAAGTAGGATCTTCAATAAAATAAAAACTATTTCCCCTAAATATTTTCTTTTAAAGAGAAATAACAAAAAAAAGAGAGAGAAATAACTTTTAGTAGAGTGGAAATAAAATAATAGAATTTTATTATCATATGGTTGTTATTTTGTGTAGTTTATAGCAAGAATATTCTAAAAACTTGTATATATAGGAAATATTTAGTACTGTTTTCAATACATAGTAGCTATATTTTTAAGGAAATAAGTTTCATACAGTAATTTTTATAAGTGATATTTGCATGAAACATTCATGTATGTTGAGAGGTCATGATTAAACAAAAATGATGATGAGAATTTAATGTTCTATAGGTATCTATAATATAAACTGCTAGAGTATTAGAGATAAATGTTAGAATGTCTCTTCATTTCAGTGTTCCTTGAAATTGGATGTGTTTGAACCTTGTACATTTCCATGGGTAAAATTATGTCCCAATTGATGGAATTTTCTTTTTTCCCCCCTCTCTTCTTCCTTTCTTTTCTAATTGAAGAACATTTTTAAAAAATTGATACTCAGGTTAAATTAAATTAACACTTCAAGCTAAAAACTCTGTAATTGAGATTGCCTCTAGAGAAGATAGAAGAACATTGCACAATTTAAGCCCCCAATTGTCTATTGAGCTTTTAGGTCTGAGTAAATTCTCTTTCATGTAAATAAAAGTTTTACCTGTTTATGTAGCATCCATAAAATCAGGTGTTAAATCCAGTTTCTTTTAATTAAATAGATACTGTAGCTTTTTCAACCAATAGGTAAATTGACAAAACCAAGAGAAAGTAATGAAAATCTGGACTTGCCCAGCTTCCCATTAAAAGTTGTATATTTACTTGTCCAGTCTATCTGCCATCTCTGTCTTCCTGTCCCCCCCCACTTTTCTTTGTGGTACCATGAATCAAACTGAGGGCCTCATGCGTGCTAGACAAGTACTGTACACTGATCACTGAGCTACAACCCATCCTCTAGGTGATCTCATTCAACATCTAGAAGTAAGGAATGAGGGGACCTGAACAGAGAAGGAACCTTAGATTTATTTCAGAGGTGAAAATTATAATTTCTTTTCAGTGTATTGTTTCCAAAGATCTTACATATATACAGCTAAGTATTAAATTCATCTCTTGCAATTCAGGAAAAGCTATACTATATATATAGGTATTATTTTAAAGAAATTTATAATTCTTTTATGACCTGGTATATAAATCTAGAATATTTAATAAGCATGTGTTCATATAAATAAAATGTATATTTATTTTTAAATTGGTATGGAATATCAGAATAAAGATTTCTAGATACTTGTAATTGCATTTTGTTTTGTTTCTGTAAGTTGCTTTCACCTTCAGTACTAATCAAATACTAGATGTTTAAAGTATGTAACTTCTTGAACTGTAACAAAAGAAAAGCATAAACCTAGAAAAAGTTAACAAAGCATCTTAGTCTCCCATCAACATGTCATAAAATATCAGTCACAACTCTGCTGAATTTTTATTTGCTCTTGTATTAGTCAGCTTTGCACTGTTATAATAAACTACCTGTGTTAACTTGCAAAGAGAAGCAGTTCATTTTGGCTCACAGTTCTGGAAGTTGTGGTCCAGCATCAGGTAGCCCCATGCTTTGGACCTCTGGTGAGGGTACCATATCATGATGGGAGTATGTGGCAGAGCAACCTCCTTACTTTTTGAGCTAAGAAATGAAGAAGAGACCAGAGTCTCACAATCCTTTTTAAGAGCATGCCCCCAGCACCTGTGGCCCTCCTGCTGGGCACTGCCTTCCAATAAATAACCTCACCCTGGGACTAATCCTTTTACACATGAACCCGTAGGGAGCATGCGAAATCCAAACTATAGCAACCATTCTCTAGCCTGGATAAATGAATATATTCTGCCCTTACTACAGTAGCATAGTTAGGGTTTATTGTACACATGTTCAAATAATTGTGCTAAGTTGTTTAGGAGTTAATAGGTCATCTCATTTGGAAGTCAGAATAGTTGGAAATAATTACAAAAGCACCCATGAACTTCTTGAACTCTAGCTGGGGGTAGTATATAATAGAAAATATCACCATGAAATGGCTAAATGAGTTATTTGCTTCACATCATTAAAAATCTGATTCTGTGGCCTAAATATATTCCCCCATTATTCATATGTCAAAATCCTAACTCCCAAGATGATGGGTTTAGGAGGTGATTGGGTTGTCCTTGTGAATGTATAAATGAGGCCCAAGTGAGATTCTTTGCTCCTGCTGCCATGTGAGGACACAGAAGGAGTTGTCTGAGGAAGTGGACCCCAAGGAGACACCAAATCTCCAGACACTGTGATCTTGGACATCCTCCAAAAATGTCAGAAATAAATTTCTGTTTATACAGCATCCAGTTTGGGTGTTATAGCCACTAGAATGGGCTAAGACATACAGATACAAGTAATTGTTAATGTTTTTCAGCCAAAGCAAGCATGACGGCCAGTGTTTCTACGGATGTGCTGGACTTCCCTTTGTAGTGATAGATAACTGGCTAGCCCTAGAAATCACATAGACATTGAAGTTGAGATGACGAAGGTTAAGGCATGACACCCCTTGCTTTTACCAGGACAGCACAAGTTTTTCCAGAAGCCTTCACTAGTTTTCTCCCTAGTGTAGATCACACGACTCCTCATAAGTAAAGGCTGGGAAGAAGCATGAGACTTTTCAGCCTCTTGGAGAGGAGGTTGATCATGACGAGATGGCTAACTACAGCACTGCCCTCTGGATGAGCCTTGGGAAATAAGTGGAAGGCTCTTTAAGACATCCTGCAGGAAAATGGTGCTCCCTGAAATATAAATGAAAAATAGTTGTTTGATCTCTTCAAGAAATATTTTTTGAACCCCTCTTAATGGCAGATGCTACATGGCTGGCCTTCATTGAAGTAATAAAATGATGGAGCTCTTCCCCATGTAGATTATTGATTAAGGGTGGGTGTCATTGGCGTCCAGTATGAACAATCTATGTATTATGATTCAACTGCATAATTCAAATGTGAAGAAAATGTCCATTGTGTTTTTCTTGAATTGCAACATTTCAAATCATAGAATGCACAAAGTTTTGGTGGACTTTTAGATGGTTTATTATCATACTGTACATGCAGATTGCTTTACAAATATCTCAGTAGCAAGGTATAGGCTTCTTTTGGCATACTGCAACAGTCTGAGTGAAGTCACTCACTATGGTAAATTTCTACAATTAGTCTACCAATGTCCGTTTTGGCTCATATCACAAAATCTTACTTTAAATTCCCAGAAAGCATCCTTTCCCTCCAAATGAACACATTTAATCACTGAATTAGATTGTCCAACATAAATCCAAGGAGAAGCAACAGTGAGTTCCTATATCATCGGCCCAGCTTTGGGTAACTGGGAGAGCCAGTGGCTGCCTCATCTCCTCTGTAGAAAGTGAGAACTCTCTGGTCAGGCACCACAGTTACCAGAAGAATATGGCAGCTCAAAAAGCAAATGGGCATGATTTTGATGAAGTCTCTACAAATGTTTTCTATATTTACATTTATGGCCAGGCTAGACAATATACTTACCTAAAATATTGTAATATATCTTTGTATTAAGGAGTCAATAGCACCATTTTGACGAGTTTTAAAAATGAAACGTTCACAAATTCTTTTCCAGTGCTTTTAAATTAGAAGTTGGGAAGGTAACTTACAATCTTTCTGTAAATTTGTATATTATACTTTGTCCTCTAAATCCTGCAGCCTCTTGATTTTGTTTAATGGTGTGTAGTCTAATTACTGGAGATGTAAGTTCCCTGTATGTGATGGTATTCCATTAATTTAATCCCACAGGCTGCTACTGAGGTCCTTATGACCCTTTAGTCAAGAAAGCTCTTGGCAACCCAGGTATACCAATTTTACATCTAGGAAAAAATAGAAAAGACATACAAAATAATGTCACACGAGCCCCAAAACTCCTTTTTTGAAGTTTACCTTTCTCTGCACTTGCTAACCTATGTTTTTTATACCCTAACAGTATCTCTACTTTTTAGCTTCTCTTCCATCACTGAGAGGATAGTCAATTTTTGTCCCCATCTGTCTTTATTTCAGTTGTCCTGTGGAATGATGCAGCCATTCATTAATCACAGATATCAGAAAGAAGCAAAGTTGCAAGACAACTATAAGTATTCAAACTGCAATCTGATCCTAGTTGGTAATTTTTTTAAAGTTCTTTGCAGATGGGGGTGAAAATATTGCCTGCAATGACTGATATAAAAGAGCATGTAAATTGAATAAAAGAAGGATGAAGAAACAACTTCATAGAATAAGACTGATATTTGGGGACAAAGCAGTTCAGATCATTCAAATTTTGTTGTTTGAGACATTGCTTCCTGTAAATTGTTATTTGATGTCAACTTTCAGGGAGATTTCTATTTCAGGTCCTGTGGGAATTGCCTTTTCAGGTCAAATAATTTAAAAGATTTGAAATAAAGCCAACAGTAACCTTGACTTGCGCCTCCACTAGCAAAGCTTTAGCAAGTAGGTGATTTTCTGGGTGGAGAAAGAGAATTTTTAGAAACTGGTAGTTTGAAAAACTTACACAGATAATCACTTCCATAGTTTACCTTATTTTGTCAATGAATACCCAGCCAGTGGAGTTTTTATTTTCAGTGCTGGGCTTTAGTGATTTGCAAAAATCGCCTTTGATGTGTTTGGTGATTTTTATTGTACCTAGAGGCTTCCCAGATTACCCCAGTATGGAGGGCTAGATGCTCTGAGGAAAGGCTGTGCCTTTGTCTACCCAGAACAATAATGGAGCAAGGAATCTAATTCATTTTGCACAAGATTTGAGACTGATGCAGACTTGGCGACACTTCTCTGTGGATTTCAGCCTTTCATACCATAGCTGTTCTTCTACTACTTTGCCCTACATTTCTTCATGAAGCCTTCCACAACTCCGTCTGTGCTCAGGCCAGTCCTTCCCCGACATGGCTCTTTTCTCCTTATCTACAATGATTCTCCCCACCTTCAACTCAATCTGACTTTCTATGAAGCTTTCCTCAATCATTCCTGGCAGAAAGGAGGATTTCCTTCTTTCCATCCCTGGAGGGCTTACCCTTACCTAGAATTAGCATAGGCATATGTGTACCTGTCTTTTCCTTCTAACTAAAAAGACCACTCTTGGAGGCTAGCACTGTTCAGCTCTGACTCCTCCATTACATGTAAAAGTTTTTCTGGAAACTTTACCAGGAAAATGAGTTCCTAAAATGGGCTCTTTTTGAGGAGCTTCAAAACTGGCGTACCATTTCCATAAAATGTGTTTTTGGTGGAGGCTCAATATCCCCTAAAGTATGCTGTTTAATTTTGGGGAAGAAAACTACTTATTAACTTTGGTCTACTCATTTCTAAGATATTTAAGTACATCAGTGACAGCTTTCAGACTCTGAGCAACCCAGATGAGTAGGTGAGGATGTAGACTTCTAATCTATATTTTCATCTTTCCCTCTCTGATTCTACTATAAGATAGGTAGGTAATTAGCAGATGATAGTTTTCAATTTATGGTCACACTTAATTGCATCCTTTACAAAACAGATTAAATATTATCCATGTCTCTCATATCAATGTATCAACCATGATGAACTGGTCAGTGAGTTCTGAGTTCTATAATATATCCTAATGGCTAGATGATATTATCAATTGCTGAAATATTTTAAAGAATATTTTACTTAGAGTCATCCTACAGTTTTACTTATTCCTAATAAAATGTTGATATTTGGTTTTCTAGTCAATACTTCATTTGCCAGTTTTTGGTTACATACGTTGAAAGTCAAACTGAAAGACAAGAGTCATGAATGCCAAACTTTCAGTATCCAGGTCACCTGCTTCCCCGAAGGCAGATATTTTGGAATGAGTAATTTCTCTATGACAGAAATAAACTAAGAAAAGGTCCTTCTTGGATTTCTAAATATGTAAGAAAAGTAGATGAAAGCATTTACTCTTTTCAGCAAGAATGCCCTTTCTTTTCAAAGAAATGAAATATAGAACACCCAGAAAAGCGTGGGCATTGGGAAGTATCTTTCTTATATAGAAGAACTGGCTGTTTCCCTATTCCTGAATTACTGATGAGCAAGTCATTGTCTCATAGAATACCATATAATAATGAAAATCTGATTAATATAAATTACTTCAGAATATTTTGAGAGATACATAACCAAAGGACTGTCATTTCTTAGCTTACTAAGCAACAGCTTCAGATTGAGTTAAATGCAGGCAAATACTAGTGTATTGTGTCATTTATATGATTTTAAAATATAAAGATCAAATTTCTAAAACCCATTCAAAATACTAGAAAGCTTAATTTTCCACTCTCAACCAACTCAATTTGTACTCTAAATTTCTTTTTTCAGGAATGACACAATTTTGAATTTTTAGTTTTGCAGGGAAATTTCGCTCTTGTATCTTTATCACAATTTTGTTTTGAGATCTCTGCAACATAAGAGAAAAGTCACCTAACTTTCTCAGAAACAATGGAAAAAAGGACCTTAAACAAAGGGAAAAACAAAGCCCCTGTACTGTGGAAATATGTATTCCTAGAAGTTATCAAAAAACATGAAGTTCCATAAAAAACTGGGATCCTTTTTTTTTTGCTGTGAAGGGCTAGGTAAACATTTTAGGTGTGGCTTGCTATAGCTGCCACTGAAAGTTACTCAACTTTCCCCTGGCAACCTGAACACAAACAATACATAAATTAGTTTGGCAGTGGGTGTTCCAATAAAAAGGGGCCACTGGCAATTTGCTCTGTGAACTATTATTTGGCTGACTCCTAAAACCTGTCCTTTGGAGATTTAAATTTCATTCCATGGTAAATTATGTGAGAATTACTTTTTTTAAGAAAATCCACATTTGTTTCCTATGTATATCTCAAAAAAACAATTAGGCAAGCATGATTGATATTCAAGCAAAAATAAATGTTAACATTAGCCCCTCTTATTAATGATCCTTTTTGTCTGTATCCTAAGGTAATTGGGCATAAAGAATTACTTAAACCACTAAATCAACTGTTCTCACTCACTGATTCCCACTCACTGAACTTATAGAACATTTTAAAATCTTGAAGAACAAACCAACATTTATCAGATATGGAATAAAACACTATTATGATGCCATTTTGACCTAATTGCATAATAAATGGACATGTTAGAACACTCTTTTGATTTACAGATGACCATGAAAACATTACTGAGATGAAGGGTGCTATGAATAGAAAAAATTAATAAATCATGAATGTACTGTTTGTGATCTATGCTACTATAGCTATATTGCAGGCATATAAAATAGGTCAGGTTAAAGGGGGGCAATTATGAGATGATAGTTTTCAATTTATGTTCATACTTAATTGTATGCTTTGTAAAACAGATTAAATATTATCCTTGTATCAGGCAAAGGACCAAGAAAAGTCAAATCTAGCACATTTTTATCATTCAGAACTGATTGTCAAGGTTGAGAGAGAGCCAGGGAAAACAACAGCTTTCATAAACTCTAATGTAGCATCTGTTGTATTTGAGTAACTTGAAATAATCCTTTATATGGAAAATAAAGATTATTCAGTCTGACTGAAGATTAAATATTTGTCATTTTCACATGATCACAGCAAAGATCCTGTCTGATACAAATATTTCATATCCATGGGTTTTCCAGGTCAATCTTTAAAATACACTGAAAGCAACTATTAACAAGCACAGAATGATTTTGCAGCAAGACTTTTAAACTAAATTCTGGTCCAGTAAGAATCCCATGCTTCTCCTGCTAGTCTGGGATGCTCCTGTCAAGGCTTTAGAGGACCTCACAGTACTAGCCTGAGCCATAGAGATGAACTAAAATTATGATTTGGGACACATAGTAGCAAATCAAGACAAGAAAAAAGAAAACAATTGGTGGAATCTCATTTTTGCATTATTGGCCAGTGGGAATACGCCAATATTCAAACATCACTTTCAATTTTTTAATCAGAACATGGGAAGAAGTTTTCCCCTACTTGGCTAATTTGAGCCCAGCCAGGTTGTATCCTTGGACTCTTCTCTACAGCAATGTCTGATTCTTGTGAATTTGTTAGATGCCCTTCCTTGATGAGGAGGCTTCTATCTTGATCTAAGTGGGTCTCTGGGCCAGATGACAGGGAGCAGACTGAGACTCTACAGGAAGCTAAAATTATGCAATCAAGCCACCTTGAGTACATCATAAGTATTTATGACAAATATTTTAAAAATTTTAACCAAACACAATCAAGATAAGTATAAAATTATTGGGCTGAGATTACATTATAGGATCTCAAATAATACCCACAAGAAGTAATAATGACAAAAAGTTGCCCTTAACAGGTCAAAATACAGAAAGAGGAAATCTAGTATCATTCAGATTTCTCACTTTCTTTTTCCATCTGTCAAAAGCTGGAAATTCACCCTGAATGTATCAGTGGATTGAAAGGATGTTAAAAAATATATTTCAGAAAAGTATTGTGTATATTTCTGTGTATTATGTAGTATGAATATTATAATCATTATTGAAATTACATGTGCATAAAGAGTTTTTCAAAAAACTTTGCAGACACACAGTCTAATCATTAAGTAGCATCCAACTACTCAAATGCTCAAATGTTGTCAATGACCCTGATCAGAAACATATTAGTAATGAACATTAAAGAAATTAGAATATGTCCTAATAGGCACTAATTACAAAGATATTATAAAATCTATCAAATAAATAAATGTCTGGAAATTTCCATTAAATAGAACTGCACAACCAGACTGAATACTTTACAATGACAAGAAAATTACACAATGACATTGTAATTATGTAACTGACTCTGCTCTGTGTATCTGTCAATTATATATGGAGTCAACCTTCAGGAATAACCTGGTGCTAATTCACTTTGTTGACTTCTTTTTTTTTTTCTTTTTAATTGGCTCTGCAAGGACTATCCTAAACCAGAATAAATGATTTACCAATTTTATCCTTTGCCTTTTCTAGCATCTACTTTTCCTTTTCCAATTTGAAATACAACAGCTGCTTCTGTACAATAAAAACTGAATTATAAAACAAAATGTCTCCCTTTAAATCGTCAGCTTGTAGACAAACCATGATCAGTTACCTTGCATGTGAAACTGGAACTAGGCATTGGTAAACATTCTAAATTACAAAATATGTTAAAATACTATGTAATTGAGGTCACAGTAAAAGGCAAACTATTCTTTTGTTTTTAAGTTTACCACTGAAAATGTCTATAGAACCTTGATGCTTATTCTAAAATCAGTATGTAAAAAAATTCCAAAAGTCTTTTTTTAAATCCATGTGTAATGGCAGTGTTGATTAAACCCTTCCAAGGAAATCTAAAACTTGCCAATGGTTATAGTCTTATTTTCGAGGTAAGTGGCATAATATCACCATCATCATATAATCTTCATCATGCATATTTGTATATTTCAGTAATTTCTAGAAAGACATGTTGCCTGTGGCATAGAGATGGTGTCCTGTTAATCTAGGAAATAAAATCTGGATCCTGTTTGTAGTCTTTTCTCAATGGGGACATGTGACTGGCCCATAGTAGATTTTAGTAAGTAAGAATATTACTGACTTTATGGCTCTACGCAGACTGTAGACTGTAGTCACTATGCGAGGGCTTAAAAAGGGGACAGAGGGACTGTAGTCATAGACAATTTAACAGTGCAGGAAGGTGTTGTTCTTTGAAGTCATGCTGGGAAATACTTCTCTGAGGCACATGAATGGATAGCAATAGCCAATAGATTTTATTTATTTCACTCTACAATATTTCTGAAACATTTGTTTGCTTCTCACCAACTCTGCAGTGTGGAAAACTGAAGCAGCTCAGATCTAAGAACTGAAATTCAAATGTAACTTTGCTTAAAATAAAATGTACTCTAGACCTATACTGTCTAATATAGGAGCCACTAGCTACATGTGGCTATTGACTAATGGATAGATCAAAGGTATTATATACACTTCTAATTTTGAAAACTTGGTATAAAAATAATTCAAAGTCTCATTTTTAATAATGACTATATTTATAACCATAATTTGGATATATTAGATTAAATACATTATAATTAATTTAAGCTTTTTACTTTTAAAAATGTGGCTAATGAAATTTAAAATTGCATATTAGGCTTACATTACATTATATTAGATAGTACTTCTTTTAGACAATAACTTCTACAACCATTTTATTTTAATTTCAGCACTCTTTTTGTCCCTGGAACAAATGAGCTCTTAACAGTTTTGAGAAAAACTAGTGAGATTACAATCAAATATTTTTAATGGGGAAAATAATTCAAAATTGCCCTTCATGGTAAAAGAATCAAGTTTATACGGTATATCTGAACTTCTTAAAATATAAACCAATACTGTAATACTGTTAATGTGATACTTGTTAGCTCTAAAATGCAAAATGTATTGCTTTGTGACATTGTCAATTAAGATTAGTGTAACGAAGTTTTTCAAATTAAGTCTATTTGTCTATCCTTATTTGGCTAAGTAATCTTTGAGATAATATATCCAGGTTTTAATAAGTAATATATATTTTTTTTAGCTTTTTTTTTTTTTTTTTAGGTACCGGGGATCGAACTCGGGTCCTTGCGCTTGCGCAGCAGGCGGCGAAACCACTGAGCTAAATCCCTAGCCCCTCTAATAAGTAATAAAAATGTTGACTCTTTTTTCAAAAATGGTAACATAATTATCTAACGTAGAATGTATTTCTATAAAAACTTTGATTTGATAGAAATGATCATTTTTCTGAAAACTTGACATGTTTCCAACTGAAATGACTACATTAGTATGTGGGGATTATCAGGAAATAATCTTTTACATAGGAGTCAAAATTTAAAACTCCCATTGATTAATAATGCAGTTTATAGCAATTATCCTAACACTCTTGAGTACTCACCAATGAATGGTCATATGCAATCATTTAGGTAGGTAAGTGCTAAACTACATTTTGGCTGTGGCATTTGTAAGGCTGTTCCTATAGTCCACAGAGCCAATCAATAAGGTCAGTCCGAGGGTTGGAATGAAATTACATCTGCCCTTGGAACAATATAAGGTGAGCTTGGAGTGATGATGTGTTCTGATATTTCAACTAAATGCCACTTTCCAAGAAAGCTCCTTTTCCTTTCTTCCTTGCTCTAATACTATATGGGATATTTTATATGTATATCTGTTAAGTTTCTCAAGGAAAATTACACCAGGAAATTGCTCTTCTTCTTAAATGGAAATTTTAATGCTTAATAAACAGGAAATTTATGAAGCTTAAAAATAGTGTGTCCTTTATAAAAGTCAAAAGAGAATTCTGAGAGGGTCTAATTAAAAGAAAAAGGAAGGAAAGAGGAAAGAATAGCATAAGCACTATTAACTAATAAAAGTAAATCAAAACCCCAAACAGTCATCTGACCTTAGATGATACGCTACTTAAGGGTTTTTCTCTGCAAACCAGTGACCTGACAGAGCCTGAACTATGGAATACAAACTGGTCTACCTTGTTTTCTTTTCATGAGAATTTGTGCCCAGAAAGCAGAATGTGTGTATAATGAGATCTAATACTCTCTAAAAACCAAAGATTTAATTTTATTTTCCAATTTAATAATTTTGAGGAAGAGTCAAAATAATTTAAGATCTGTTTATTCCATGAAGATTTTTATAATCTGGTGATTTTTTTTATTGCCTTCATTTTGGACTTTGAAAATAATTCTTTTTTTAAATTAAAAAAACTCCACCAAAATATTATACATAATTATTTTGATTAAATGTTTATTTCAGCTCAAACTAGAAATAAATTTGTGATGCTTGGACTTAGTGTAATTTCTATGAAGGAAAAATGTTCCTATGGAAGTTAAAGAAAAATATTTATTCTGGAAATAAATCATAATAATACATTAGGTCTAATGTTTCAGCTTTTTAAGAGTCTGATTTAAAATTGGTGGGGTTTTTTTTCTTTTTGTTTTTTAAGGTCAATACAAATTTACATTGTGCTAAAATTTTTGACATGGAAAATTTCAAAACTACATTGCAAAATGTGGTATAAGCAAAAGATACACTAGCTTTTTATAGTTATTTTTAAATCCATAAACAGGATATCTAAATAATCTTCAACTAAAGGAGGGGAAAAGCTTTTGTCAACAATAATGTTTCTTTATAATAATGAACAATCTGATAACGGAACATGTTATTCTCACTCTCTTCAGACATTTTGGCATCAAACTGTGGAATAGATTTTTAAAAAATATTTAAAGCTTGTTTTTGTAGTTAATTCACACAATATTATTATCTATAAGGTTGTATACATTCACAAATAAACATAATTATTCCTGGAAAATGAAAAGGAATCAATCTTATCTTTGTTAGCCTAAGTCCCATTTTTATCTCCTTTTCTTCCCTAAATGTCTTTATATTCTTCCCTATATTTTGTCCATTTGAAGGGCATCTTACTGGATAGCAGGTGAAGGGGAAGAGTGAACCTCAGCATGAGTCTGTAAAATACTTTCTTCAGGAGTATAAAATGGTAGAATTTTACGGGAGAACATTTTTATTATCATTACATATGTAAGAAAGAATAAAATAAAAAGGCATTTTCCACATAAGCTTTTGAGGCATATGGGATTCACGACCCTTGTGAATATTTCTTACCATTTTAAATGAAATTTTTTTGCACATATTGTACAACTATCACCTATCATATGCTTGTAAACAGTTTGAACACATTAATGATGAAAAGTAAATATTGGGAAAGTCATGGGAACATGTCTTGTAGCACTACCTGGTATTAGCTGAGCAGTAGTTCAAAGGGGTTACTGCCTTAAACCCAGAGGATGTAAGATGGCTTGATTTTCAATGAAAAACCAATTTGCTATTATTTACTTCAAATGTGTGCCACTGATTGCTGAAAAATGTATGTTTTTAAGTGTTGTGTTACTTGCAAGTTCAATTTAACTCGCTGGTATTAGGTATCCATTACATGCCATAGAAAACACAATTATTTTCATAAAGCAGTCACATGCATTGACATAGAGTTACCAACTGGCATATATGTATTTTTTTGCACCTCAAAAACAGAATCACTAGAGGGCTTATCATGCTTCCACACCTTCCTTGCTGAAAGACAAAGTACGTAAAATGCTAGAGTTTGGCCTCCAGATCTGAAGAAAGCCGATTTAGTAGTCTGGCAGGATCACATGTTGTTGTGAAAGTCCAAGTCCCATGGTAGGGATTTCCTGCTCCTCTTTGGGGTCTGCTGCTTCCTCCATAGGCTTCAGCTTCTCCACTCCGCCCTTCTCTCTCGCCAGATCAGCCACCTTTATCCCATCAGGCACCATCTTGGGGGCCTCTTCAGCATTTATATCTGCATCTTTTACCTCCTCTATCAGCTTAGCCTCTGTGGCTTCAACTATCATGTGGACCCCATCTCCTTGAATATTCTCTTCTTGTGGAATAGCTCTGATGTCCTCATTGCACTCTTGGGTTGGCGATGGTTCTTGGCCAGACTTCTGACTCTCCTGGATGCTGCTGTGACTGCTGCTGGCACTTCCCAGTCGGGAGGAGGCCACTACTGCCTTCACTGCTGCCTGATTGGGGAAAGGAAAGTTTCAAGTGTCATCTCCCTTCAAAATCCAAGTCAGACGTCAAGCTCTACTTTGTATTTAGGGAGTGTATTTCAGAGGTTTGTGTTCAGTCTTTCAAAGTACATTATTCCAGGATTGACTGTTGGATGAAAACTTGTTTGGAGAATAAACAGTAAAACCTCTTTAATCTCAAATTAAAAGTATTTAATCATCTGGACAATTGAAAGTCTGAGAAAATGTATTTGCCCATAGATGACTGGACAACATTTCAGACTGTTTCCCAAAGTATTTATTTCATGGAACATTAATTCCATGGATTTCAGCAGGTATTATGAAGATGAGTTCTGTGGTCAAATTAGCTTGAAAAAACCTGGGTTAAATCACCATTATTTAATGTAGAGTCTTTCAAATTAATTCTATCACAGACCCCCTGCAGGTTTATCTGCTGATATCTGTATCAGCCTATGAAAAAAATGGCTGAAAGGTCCCTAAGTGTGGCCCCTACCTATTCTCTGAAATCCCATGCTTCTTACATAGCTAATCCTAAATACCATTATGTCATAGAAAAGCACCTAATCTCTATTTTATATATACAGGCTATAAAATAAACAGGTAGTGGTACCTCAGTTTATGAACCTAGTTTATTTTACAATTTTGCAGAAGATGGCCATGTTTGTGTTTGTGTGGGGAAGATGGCCATGGCCATGTTTGTCACCTGATGCAGAGTTTCCAAATGGAAGCAAAATTGTGCCAAACACTTGTTTGGAAACTGAATTGTTTTGCAAACAGAAGTATTTGTGAACCAAGGTATTACTGTATGTTCTAGAATAATTTTTGTAACATTTAAATTATTTAAATTTCTTTTCAAGTGCAACACATACATACAATGAAATACAGTTTTAAAAACGGTCTCCTAATTTTCACAGAAATTTCATATTCAGAAAGAAAACAAATTTTTGAATAAACAGTTTCCTGAAAAATGCTGCTCAAGTTTAGCCTTAATTAGATGAGAAGCAGCAATAGTATATTTGGTGGGAGAATCTCAAACTTCAGCACATTTCTTATATTAGTAATGAATTTATGAGAGGATAACAAAACTATAAGTGGCTTTATGTTGCACTGTTGGTATTTCAAAGCAAGATTTTTCCTCTAGTGTCACTGGAAATGAATAATAGTACCAGACAAAGAAAAAAAGTCTGTTGTAAACAAAACATATCACCTTACCTTCAGCTTGCGCCGAGCGTTGAATTCTTGGAGCTTCTTTTGAGCAGTATCCATGTGTACAAAATTGGCTGCTTTACCTGTCACCCATGGATGCTGGAGAGCTTGAAAGGTCGTCAGCCGTTTCTTAGGGTCCAAAACAATTAATTTTCTGACCTGAAATAATAAAGAACAATAGACTTAGGGAAACCATTTTTGTGACCTGGACTTGCCTTGTTTGTGAACTTCAGGATCTTCTGTTTTCCAAACAATTGTGCTGAGCATATTTTTTTTCAAAAATGTTTAAGCTTCAGATCACTGTAAGTAGGACTGGCTTAAGGATAGCAGTAGCTGAAGAAGACAAGACAGTAGCGTGTACTAACTGAGACCCCAAACTGGCAGATTGCTTTCCAACAGAAGCCCCAGAAACAGGTCCTGGCTTGCCTGTGGACTAGATGCCTAGATGCTCTTTGAAGAAGAGCCAGCATCTGAATAATTCTAGCCTGCACCTCACAATCACCTAGAATTCAGAACTTGACATACAACTTCATGTTAAGAGGATCATTCGGGCATCATCATTCTTTTTTTTTTTTAGGCATCATCATTCTTTCTGTGGGGATTAAGTGGCAAACAAAAGGGATAATATCCTAGCCCCTATGGAATACTATTTTATGATTCTCTTGCGGCTTGTAGTTCTTTCTTTTTAATTTCTTGATGTTTCTAGGAAAATAAGACCAGAAACTGGGTAAAAGTCATGTTAGAATCAGAATAGTCAGTGGCTTTGGGATATGAGTTGATTAAATGAATAAAGCTGACCAATGGCAAGCTATTCTGCAAGGTTTACTCCTGCTCCTAAGGATGAGCAAAAAATAAATTGTAAGGAAGATCAGCAAATGAAAGCATTCCCTGCCCTGGGCTCAGAAGGAGTGACCCTGTGTGAGGGAGAGGACACCTGGGGTCAGGAGGTGTGCTCCAGCTTTGTTATGTCTCTACTTTTGTGATCCTAGACATAGTCTGGCATGAATTGCTTACCCATGGACACTCAGCTAGTGTCCATTTTCTTACATGATTGAATCTTATTTCCACCTTCATTGTTTTGCAAATGGATTCTTATTTGTATATAAATTTTTAGAAACTCATGCAATCCTTTAATAAATTTAGAGTTTGGAACTATTAGCTGTAATTCACAAGGGACAGATGGAAGTGAACTCAGAGAAAGATTTTGCTACTTGTCTAACTGGTGGAGTTTGTATTCAAACTCAAGTCTGCATTATGTTAGACCTTATCTTTAAAATGAGAGTAGGACTCATCTTTAAAGTGAGGGAAAGACTAGATGGCTTCTGAGATCCCTCTTAATCTTCTGTGATTCAAAAGTCAGCTTTGGTTTTTCTCTAGAGGACTGAGTAAATATTTCAAGTATACTGTAGTGTCCTCTTTTTATAAGCAGTGCATCCCTCCCCAGAGGGTGTTTCCTGAATGCAAATGAACTTCAATGTTAGCTAAATGAGAAATAAGGTAAATAAAACAGAATGCACTATTAGTAAAGTGGAGCTTGTTTAAAATGCCAGTGATAATATAACAGGACTCATGTTACTGTAAGAATATTTTAATAAGTTTAAATGAAATTTCACGAGGAATACCGTTTCATTGAAGTATATCTAATACATGTATATGTAATAACAAGCCATGTTAAAACAAAATTTTGTGTAAATTATGTTTTGACTCACTTAGCATAACTTTCTTCATAAGCAAGGCTCTATTTTGCACATTATAATTCATTAATTAAATGCTATAATGATTGTAATTATAATTTAGCGATGAATAAAAACATTTATTTTCATTGTCTATAAGGAAAATTCATTAATAAGTATTATTAAAATTGCCTTACAATTAAAAAGAAATATGATATTAATAGAGGCATATTTTTAAGAAGGGTCTTTTCTATTAGTTAAAAATGAATTTATATCATTTTATTTTGGTTACACTTACCAAGTCCTTGGCGTTTAGAGATACTTCATCCCACCAGGGGGAGATAAAGTAATATTCACAATTCAGAATTCTCCTGAACATGAACTGATCACCTCTTTCATCATAGAATGGTTCAAACCCACAAAGTCTACAGGGAAAAAAATAGGGAATAAATAGTCTTTAAAAGAATAGTGCATTTCATCAGATTTCTGCAGAAATTCATGACTTTGTCAAAGCCTCTTGCTATGAACTGCAGTGTATGCAGCACAAGTATGTATCGCCTTGTTATAATTCACTTTTGGTAGAATAAAAAACACAATAATACCTCCAGAAAGTAAGAATAGTGAAATAAGATTTCTACAAAAAAGCTATGATTATAATAAGAATCTTTCAGACATGAAAGAACAGCAATGATAGTAACTAACATTAATATAGGGATCATGCTAAAGATTTTTCATGAGAACTAAGAAGACAGACTGATTAGAGTTTCAATTTAGTACAAAATGGAAGAGTTAGAATTGAGAGTAAAAATGAAAGGAAGAGTTTTTACATTTTATTCATCCCTATTCTCTGAATTCCCCTGCATAGAAATGAGTAAAGTATGACATCTATCCCCTTTTAGTATGGATTTCAGAGTGAACTAAGACAGGGGCTAAAATTATCATCAGGGAATGTCCCTAAAAGTGTTTTAATTCAGTGACCAGATGCAGCCAGCAGAAATAAAAAGCCTAAATTTATTTCATCCTTATACATGACCTTCACTTTTTACATCTTAAAAGCATCCCATTACATTCACTGTTACAGTTTGAATCTGCAATGACCCCCAAATGCTTATAAATTGATGGTTTTCTCTCCAAAACAGCAATGTTCAGAGATGGTGCTTTTGGGAAATGACTGAGTCATGAGGACTCTGATCTCATTAATACCTACTCCACTAGTGGCTCGATAATTTGATAGCCTATTGGAAACTCAGGAGGAGGGACAGAGTTGAAGGCAGTGGGTTCTTAGGGACTAATTCTCTCTCTCTCTCTCTCTCTCTCCCTCCCTCCCTCCCTCTCCCTCTCCCCTC